TAATTCATTGTAATATTCTGCCTGTCGGCTTCACTGATCACCATTTTGTTAGTGTGGAGCTGATTATTTCACCAGGTGAAAGGGCTAAGTCCTTCTGGCATTTTAATAACAAGCTTCTACTGGACAATGTTTTCTGTAAAAACTTTGGGTGTTTTTGGGATCAGTGGCAATTAAGAAAAGTTGAGTTTGATTCTTTGAAGCTTTGGTGGGAGGTTGGTAAAGCTCAGATTCGTGTTTTTTGTCAGCAGTACACGTCACACTCTTCTGCTAGATTAAAAACAGTCATTAAAAATCTTGAGGACAACATTAAGAACCTTGAGGAGGGGTTAAATGGGAGTGTGGATCCCACCACTGGTACCCTGCTGAAGGAGAAACGTATGGAGTTGAGCTCTTTCCTGCAGGAGAGGGTGAAGGGAGCTCTTGTGCGGAGTCGTTTCCTTCAACTCAAAGACATGGATGCCCCAACGTCTTTCTTTTTCAATCTTGAGAGATCTGTGGCTCAAAAAAAGCTGCTGACTTGTCTGAAACTGCCAGGAGGTCGAATAACAGCTGATCCAAAGGAAATGAGCAGTCACGCCATGCAGTTCTATGAGGATCTGTTTGGAGCAGAGAGTTGCAGCCAGGAGTGTCGCAGGGAGCTCCTGGAGGGTCTCCCTCAGCTCAGTGTGGAGGAGAGGTCTCTTCTGGAAGGGGAGCTGTCTCTGGAGGAGCTCACTGCTGCTGTCACTCAGATGGCAACAGGAAGAGCACCTGGAATAGATGGGTTGTCCACAGACTTTTTTAAGAGGTTCTGGAATATCCTTGGGTCTGACCTGCATAGTGTTTTAATGGAGTGTTGCAGGACCGGGTCTCTTCCTGGTTCTTGTAAGAGAGCAGTTCTTTCCTTGCTCCCCAAGAAAGGTGACCTGGCATTGTTAAAAAACTGGAGGCCGGTTGCTTTGCTTTGTGCGGACTACAAGATCCTCTCCAGAGCTTTATCGAACAGACTAAAGGACGTTCTGGGAAGTGTGGTCCATAAAGACCAGAGTTACTGTGTTCCAGACCGGACAATCATGGATAATGTTTTTCTTATCAGAGATGTCATTGATGTGTGTAAAATCTATAATCTAAATGTTGGCATTGTGTCTCTGGATCAAGAGAAGGCGTTTGACAGGGTGGATCACTCGTATTTGTTTTCTGCACTGAGGTCTTTTGGTTTTGGGGATGGTTTTGTGTCATTAGTTGGTTGTTGTATCAGGATGCACAGTGTTTGGTGAAGATGGGGGCGGGGTTGAGTCGGCCAATCCCTGTACGGCGAGGGATCAGACAAGGTTGTCCCATCTCCGGCCAGCTGTACAGCTTGGCTATTGAGCCCTTGCTGTGCAGGTTGAGGGCCGGCTCAGCGGGCTTTCTTTGCCCGCGGCCTGTAGCATTGAATGTCCCCTACAATTTCTGCCTATGCTGATGATGTAAACATCTTCATCTCCAATCAGGGGGACGTTCGGTGTCTGCGGGACACCCTGTCCCTGTATGAAAGGGCAACAGCTGCACGGGTGAACTGGGAAAAAAGTGGTGCCTTATTGGTGGGAGAGTGGAGGGACCAGGCAGTGCCCAGTCTGCCGGGTGGACTTGAGTGGGGGAGGGAGGGGTTGAAGGTGTTGGGGGTTTATTTGGGTACCGAGGGCTTTAAAAGTAAAAACTGGGAGGGAGTTAGGGAGAAAGTGTGCGCTCGGTTGTCTAAATGGAAATGGTTGCTACCCCAGTTGTCGTATAGGGGAAGAGTTCTGGTGGTCAATAACTTGGTTGCCTCGACTCTCTGGCACAGACTTGTGGCTTTGACACCTCCAAGAGGGCTGGTGGAGGACATTCAAAGGGCCATCCTGGACTTCTTCTGGTCAGGCAAACACTGGGTCCAGGCGGCAGTCCTCTACCTGCCGGTGGCTGAAGGGGGACATGGACTTATAGACATTCAGTCAAAAATTGCCTCATTCAGACTCCAGACTGCACAGAGACTCCTTTTCACTTGTGGTCCCAGCTGGATGGACATCGCTCGACTGCTGCTGAGGAGAGCTGGACGGCTGGGGTACACTAAGCAGCTCTTTCTGTTAAAGCTTGAGGAGGTGGATCTCACTGGATTAACATCCTTTTATATGTCTGTAATGCAGGCATGGAAAATGTACACATTCAAAAGGGAAAAAACTGAGAGTCCGGGAATGTGGATCTTTGAGGAACCGTTATTTTTTAATGATTTCATAAGGACTCCAACTTTGCAGTCAGCCAGTCTCCGGGCCAGTTTCAGAGAGGCAGGCTGCACAAAACTGGGTCACCTGGTAAGACTGACCCTGGACGCCCTCAAAGAAAGGACCAATATCACCTCCAGCCGGGTGGTTGAAAGAGTGGTGGAGGAAGTCTTTGCTGCACTTCCAGTAAAACTTGTGACATTTCTAAACATTGAGAATCTGTGTGAGCAGTGGAGTGAAGAGGGCGAATACAGCTTCCCATCTTTGTCTGTTACCCCAGATGTCGGGGAGTGGCAGGAAAGAGGAGGTGGACTGCTGTCCTTTAGTACTCCTGTTGCAGGATGCAGGGAAAAAGGCACTCTATCAGTCCTGTGTTAAGGTCCTACATCTTCGTGGTCTGTCGGGAGTGAAAGAGTCGAGGTGGATCGAGTTTTTTGGCCCGGAGGTTTCCCCGAAAGGCAGCTGGCGGTCCCTGTACAAGCTGCCTGTTGAGAAGAGAACAGCAGATCTCCAGTGGAGAGTTGTGCATGGGGTTATAGCCACAAACAGATACAGAGCGCACATTGATCCAGGGGTGGGAGAGGAGTGTTTGTTTTGTTCACTAACTGAAACTTTGTCTCATCTGTTTGTTGAGTGTCCCAGGCTCTCACTCTTGTTTGTCCTTATGAAAAGCTTGTTTGAAGCTCTCGGGGAGGATTTCTCTTATGCAGTGTTTGTTTTTGGGCCAAAGTATTCTGCAAAGAAAAAGACTGTACATACACTGATGAACTTTTTATCTGGCTCGGCTAAGTTGGCCATTTGGCTTACACGCAAGAACCGAGCTCAGGGTACTGGCTGTGTGGAACCGGTGCTGGTTCTGGAGGGACTTTTGAAGGCCAGACTAAAGGTAGAATTTGCCTATTATCAAATGATGGACAATGTGCAAGACTTTAATAGTGTATGGGCTGTGGAAGAAGCTTTGTGCTCTGTGGGTGGGGATGGAGAGCTGATTATTCATTTTTGATGCAGTAAATGTTGTTTTTGTTGATGTTGTGATTTTTGTTGCACTTGTTTTGTTTTATTTTTTATTTATTTATTTATTTCCTTCTCTTGATCTGAGTGATGATGTGACAGTGTTATAATTTTCTCCTGGTAGTGGTAAAATAAAAGGTATTTTGAAAACCAAACCTCTCCTCTCCTCTCCTCCTTCCCCTCCTCTCCTCCCGTCTCCTCTTCTCCTCCTGCAGGTACGACGAGCTCCTCAAGTGGGCGGGGGCCACTCTTTCTGCTCAGGGATTGGACAAAGACTCTGTCAATCAAATCCTGCTCCGGATTTCTCAGCCGGTAGACATGGAGGACGTGAGGAGGAGGGTTGGAGGAGGGGAGGGGGAGAATGGGGAGGAGCCTGGAGCAGAGGGAGGAATCTGTCCTCTCACAAAGAGGCCGATTGCGGGGTCAGAGGTCGAGCAGGAGACCGAGAGAAGCTGCAGGTAAAGTCAGAGAAAAGAACGTGGCACTTCAAGATCCTCGATCTGATCCTGATTCCCCGTTTAGACAATCACAAGCAAAGTCCTGATTTCTGGATGGTTCTAAAGAAGATCTTTTTAGATTTCTGAGGTGTGTTAAGAGTGATCCGATCTATTTCTCTGTTTTGTCATTCAGGTTCAGGAGTCCAGAACCCGACCCTGAGCCCAGCTCTGACTCCGACTCTGACCCTGGTTCAGTTCCTGACCCTTTGGTTCCAAGTCCAGGATTTATCCTCGTGTTGTCAGGCAGTGGGGTGAGTAGTTGTGTGTGTGTGTGTGTGTGTGTGTGTGTGGATGTGTGTGTGTGTGTGTGTGTATTTGTGTTGATGTGTGTGTGGATGGATGTATTTGTGTTGATGTGTGTGTGGATGGATGTATTTGTGTTGATGTGTGTGTATTTGTGTTGATGTGTGTGTGGATGGATGTATTTGTGTTGATGTGTGTGTGTTTCTGTATTTGTGTTGATGTGTGTGTATTTGTGTTGATGTGTGTGTGGATGGATGTATTTGTGTTGATGTGTGTGTGTGTGTGTTGATGTGTGTGTATTTGTGTTGATGTGTGTATTTGTGTTGGTGTGTGTGTGTGTGTTGATGTGTGTGTATTTGTGTTGATGTGTGTGTATTTGTGTTGATGTGTGTATTTGTGTTGATGTGTGTATTTGTGTTGATGTGTGTATTTGTGTTGATGTGTGTGTATTTGTGTTGATGTGTGTGTATTTGTGTTGATGTGTGTGTGTGTGTTGATGTGTGTGTATTTGTGTTGATGTGTGTATTTGTGTTGATGTGTGTGTGTGTTGATGTGTGTGTATTTGTGTTGATGTGTGTGTATTTGTGTTGATGTGTGTATTTGTGTTGATGTGTGTGTGTGTTGATGTGTGTGTATTTGTGTTGAGGTGTGTGTGTGTGTATTTGTGTTGATGTGTGTGTATTTGTGTTGATGTGTGTGTGTGTGTGTGTGTGTGTGTTGATGTGTGTGTATTTGTGTTGATGTGTGTATTTGTGTTGATGTGTGTGTGTGTGTGTTGATGTGTGTATTTGTGTTGATGTGTGTGTATTTGTCCAAAGGAGTGTGAGGTGGTGAAGGAGGTCCGACGGTCTCCGCTGTCTCTCACAGAGTACCTGCAGCTCAGTCTGGAGGAGGTAACACACCAACACACACACTGTGTTCATTTCTAAACCAATCAGCTTCCTTCTGCCCATATAGACTACATTACCCATGAGCCCTCGCTGCTAACGCCAGGGAACACATGATTTCACAGCATTGATTATGGTGCGTTTCATTTGACTCGGATGTCGGAGCTTGGAGTGAAGCCACATCGCATGTTGATCGTGTTGGTTACAAGTCGTAAAAGCAACATGGCCGCCTCCAAGAGTTTACGCTCTACTTTAAGTTTTACTTTTATTTACTTTCCTGTGGAGCAGCCATGTTGGATTTTCAGTTTCTCCGACTTTCCTGAGCTGCTTTGGGGCGGCAGTAGTTCAGTCTGTAGGGACTTGGGTTGGGAATCGGAGGGTCGCTGGTTCAAGTCCCGGCACGGACCAAGTCCGGAAATTGGTCTGGTAGCTGGAGAGGTGCCAGACCACCTCCCGAGCACTGCTGAGGTGCCCTCCCCCCCCACCAGCCCAGGAGCGCCCACTGTGGGCAGCCCCCACACTCTGACAGCTCTCCATTAGTGCATGTGTGTATTTCAGCCTGTGTGTAGCTTGTTAACTAGACAGAGTGTAAAAACAAATTTCCCCTCAGGATCAATAAAGTATAAATTATTATTATTATTATTATTATTATTGGGGGGATCCTGATGACGTTTCAAAACTGGCATCTCGGCCTTTCCAACTAGATCAAATGGAATGCACCATTACACCTGTACTTTGACAAAGAGAAGGGGGCGTGGCCTCTGCACAGCTGACTGCCTGTCTATCTGTGTTAACAGGCCTTCTTCCTGGTCTACAGTCTGGGCTGCCTGTCTGTCTACCTGCACCAGGTACCTGTCTGTCTCTACACGTATTCAAAGAAAAAAAAAAAATCAAAGAAAGCCAAAAGACTTACCGGCCACAGTATAGCTCATAAGCTCCGCCTCCTCCATGTTAACAGATGGGACATGTTTCAGACTTTTAAAATTAAACTCAGATCGACGTGTTTGACATGCTTTTGGTGAATGAATAAATGTGTCAAAGTCATAAATATATTGACATAAAACAGATTTATGACCTCACTCATGTTATGATGACCTCACTCATGTCCTCTCCTGTGATTGGTCAGGAGCCCCTGTCAATCCTCCAGCTGTGGCGGAAGTTCAGGTCCCTGCGGCCCAACTTCATCAGCACCTACGCAGCCTATCAGCACTTTCGAAGCAGGGGGTGGGTCCCTAAAGTGGGGGGCGGAGCCAAGTACGGCGTTGACCTCAGTAAGACACACACACACACACACACACAAAACCTCAAATTAAGGAGCAGGAAGTTAACTGAAAGAAAAGACGTACAAATCAGAAAGAAACTGTGAAAAGTTGCTTTAGACTCCCGAGCTGAGGACAGCAGCTGGGACGAGGACAGCGGGTCGATTAAGTGTCCTTCAGTGAACGGAGTTTTCTGTTTGTCTGTGTTTCAGTGTTGTACAGGAAAGGCCCGCCTTTCTACCACGCCAGGTAACACACACAGAAACACACACACACATCTACGACTGTCCTCACTTCTTGGTAGATTTTAAAAATGTTCACTTCTGTCCCTCTTCTCTTCCTGTAGTTATTCTGTGGTGATTGAGCGAGCCGATGATGAGTTCAGGGGCTCGGGGCCGCGTCCGTTTTCGTGGCGCTCTCTGGCCGCTCTCAGCAGAATCACCTCCAACGTCTCCAAGGTAACGGGGCCGTCACACTGCATCGCATCAGGTTTGAGTGTTTATTCTTTTTTTTACTTATACTTTGTTTTGTTTTTTTACAGGAGCTGATGTTTTGTTACATGATCTATCCAGCCGACCTATCAGACGCTGAGCTGGATTCACCTGCGTGTGTGAGCAGACTGAAGGTTCAGGTGAGAGACGGGAAACAGACAAAGACGTGGCGACGGCTGAGCTCATTTATGTTAACGTGTGTTCTTTCAACAGGAAGTGATCGTCAGCAGGTGGGTTTCCTCCAAAGAGCGGGCGGAGCAGGACGACATCTGACTGGAGAATTCATAAACTGATGATGTCACTGGGGGGGGGGGACGCACGCACAGTAATGATGTCATACAGAGGCTGGTGACATCAGACAACGGTCGAAGGTGGATAAAAATCTTTTTTCATGGACAAATCAGACAAAGAGGATGACACACAGAGACTGGATGTGAAAGCTCAGATGTCTGAGGGTCCTTGAACGCAGCAGCTGGCTGGTTTCAGTTTCCCAGTGAGGTCAAAGTTCAGGTGATTAAACTGTGATGTTTACTTCTCACTTCCTGAAGCCGAGGAGGAGCTCCTTCATGATACACAGCCAATAAAAGAGTCTCACACACACTCTGAACACACAGACGTTCTTTTGTTTTTATACGTGTTGATAATTCAGTTTGTCCACATTTCAAAAAACAAAAACTCAACACCAGCAGCCTCATGACCTACATGTTAATACACACGCTCATTCTGAGAGGAGAAATAGGACGATGGTTATATGTGTGAATATTTAAAGGAGCAGTTTTTAACTCTGCCCCTAGTGTTTAAAATATGTACTGCAGTCTAAATTCTAATCATCATAGAGAGCTGTCCCCCCCCCCTCCTCTCTAGAGTGGATGCTCACTCAGGTCACCATGTGGTGGACTCTGAAGCTTCAGTGTTTATCCAGCTCTGCATGGGTCTGTAAACCTTTCTGTGTTCTAACCTCTCTCCATTTTTCAAAAGCATCTCCAATATTGATCCTAGTTTGAGCACGTTTCTGCTCGTGGAGCTTATTAGAAACATGCAGAGGCTTTTTAGGTCGGGTACAATCACTTCTATCTGAACCACTTCTCTTGACCGCTTCCATCACTGCAACACCTGTTGACCTGATAACTGCTCTCATATCTGACAAACAGAGGGGCGTCCAAAACGGCCGTGTGGGGGGGTGTCTTAAAAGCACCTACCTTCTCTGGTCCAAACAAATCCAGAGCATTCAGGAGCAGAATCTAAAGTTAGAAGGAGGACATACTGGCTGCTGCATTGTTGTCAGAGAAGCCAGCACTTCAACATAGCATGTTTCCTTAATGATCAGAGAGTAAGATACCTTTATCATCTCACTCTCTACACAGCTCACTGATTGGACCTTTAAGTAAATACTTAAAGACACAGAGCGTTGGTTGAACATTATATTTATTTAATTACATCAAATATGAAAAACATCCTGATGTTACATTTGACAGGAAACTGTTTACAAACGCTTCATTCACGTTCGTCTCAACATGTTGATTTTACTTTATTCTGACGCAGTGTGGCGGCAGGATCAGACTTTACAAACACACTCAATACTTTACTATATCATTCATTTATTCATCGTCATTACAGCTGAAATCTGGGAGAGGTTGTGTTGAGCTCGTCTGGCTGTGAGAACATGAGGATGTGTAACAAAGACTGATTTAGTTTAATGGTTTCAGTCGCCCTGCAGCTAAAAAAAAGGCGGGGCTTCTGGGATCCTCCACCTGTGGCGCTGGAATGTTTCAGGAGCAGAGCATCATGGGAAAAGGATTGACTCATGTTGGGACCGGCGTTAACGTACATGTGGAAACAGAGGAGTGTTGAAGAGAAATGTTTGCATTGAGAAGATTCTTCGTCCTCTGAACTTACAGACGGATGAAAACGTGACCAAACCATCGGACTCCAGTTTCACTCAATGTTTTCATCAAACACAAACTACTCTCTCTCTGGGTGTTGGGTCAGAAGTCCGGCTTGTTTAGTGATTCTTTGAGATCAGGTCATTATTGTGGAGATCGGGGAGGGGGAGGGGGGGGTCATTGATGTGTGTGGGTCACTGCTCGCTCTGCTGTGTGTCTGTGATGGAGGACACGGCGCCCTGTCCCTTGCTGACGTCGCTGATACACGCCCACTGACCGTCCATCGACTCCTTCCACAGCGTCACCTACACAACAACAATGCACACGCACACACACGGAGGAGTTTGTGAGGATAAACACTAGATGATTTTAAAAACATGAGACCACAGACATGAGGACAGATTCATAATAATCCTCTGAACACACACACAAGATGATTCAGCCAGACCGCGAGACCACACACACACCTGCTGTTCACTCACAGGATCAAATGTGACTTCAGAAGAAAATAAAGACATGCAGGACGATGGTTGTGGTCAGCTGTGAGGTTTGTCTTCATGAGACGTAAAGACTCTCATGTTGTTGCCATAGTAACACAGGCTGCTCTTCTTAAATAATCCACTCGGCTCGGGGGCTCAAATGTGTTTGTGAGCTGTTAAAGTGACACAACATCAGGTTGGTGACGCTTCCCAGTCCGCTCGCTCTCAAAACATGTTTGACGATGTTTATCAAATCGCTCAGGAGCAGTATCGACACCACACACTTGAGGATTACACAAATCATCATTTCCGACAAGCCTCGAATTGGACGGGACAAAAATGGGGCCTAAACCAGATCAGTGTGAGAGCTCTGATCTCACTACCTCTGCCCTGGTACACAACATAGACAGCCTTCTTTTATTGAGAAATCCCGGAGTGTTCTGCGTGTATCTGACTGACATGACTCAAAGTCAGTAAAGTCATGTTGTCTGATGTGCGGACACCGACTCGACTGCACGTCCCTTATTTTCTTTTAAGTTTGTCTGACTTGTAAACTGAGAACGCTTCATGATTACGACGTTATGTACAAGAGGTGACCGGATTCTTTGTTTCTCTTATTTAAACAAATATGAGTAAAGTACAGGGACAACAGATGGAAATTAGCTTGTTAGCTAAATCTGGTACAAAGCATCTCTTCTCTTCTGAGACTAATGTTTATTTTTGTACACTGATTCAAATAAACTAATTAAAGTAAGTAAAGAGGCAGGTTTGAAAAGAGAGAACAAACATGAATAGAAACACTCTACCTTGTTGTCTCCTCCTGAAACAGCCAGGATGTTCCCGGTGATGGACCAGCTCACGTGCCACACCACGTCGTTGAACTTGTGGAGCAGCTTGGCCGTCCAGGTGTTTCCTGTGGGGTCGTCACACGTCCAGATGTACACACGACCGTCCTGGGAGAAAGTAGGTTTAGTAGTGATAAATGAATCTTCAACTTTGATATCATACGAGTAAAAATCAAACCACGGCAAGAACAATAGAAGTCTTGGCACACTACGTCGGGTCATTCAAACAAAAGGTAAACCCAAACATACACCAGGCTGTGATTAAAAGGGACTGACGTGGACATATTAGAAGAAAAAAACAAAGATTCTCACCTGCGAGCAGCTGGCGATGGTGCTGGTAGGCAGACCGATAGACGGCGCCCAGCCGACATCTCTCACCCAATCACTGTGAGCCTCCAGCTTCTGGTCCTCCTTCCACTGACCGTCCTCCTCTCTGCAGGCGGGAAGAGAACAATCAGAAACAGGTCGACCATAAAAACTATGAAGAAGAAGAAAACGCCTTTACACCAGAACTCACTTCCAGAGTTTGACCAGGTTGTCGCAGCCTCCGGAGACGAAGCGTTTGACGTAGTTTGGTTTCTGTCCTGACGGCTGATCGATCAGACTTCCTGGAACCACAGCGGGAGCCCAACTGACTGCGTTACAGCCGATCTGAAATCACAAGCCAGTGAATAAAACAGACGAATCTGAAACTGATACAGCTCGGATTGAAGTGTCACATTAAATGTAACACGGTAGACGTGAAGGCGAACAGAAGAGCAGAGTCCAGAAAAGATTTCAAACATCCTGGACTACAACAGTTTGGATTTTGGACTCTGACTCACCGTGTGTGCGTTGCTGATCTTCTTCACGTCCCACTGTTGATCCCCGGTAAACGTGAGAAGGGAAATCGCTCCGTCTGAGCTGCCACAGGCCAGAATGAGACCGAAGTCATACGGACCCCAACAGACAGAGTTCACTGTAGAAACACGGAAGAATCATCACAAACCTGACAAGACGTCTGGAAAAGAATCTAAACACCCCGAGCTGCTGCAGGAACCAAAAAGATCATCCCTGTCTCAGATTCATGTTTCCATTTGTTGTCAAATCAAAATCAGAACTATCACTGAGCTGATCTCAAAGCTTCCTATTCCTCTGAGGCGGCTGCACCTACGAGTGGTGTCCCACAAGGTTTTGTCTTGGGCCCCATCCTATTTTCTTTATATGCACTGCCCCTGGGGTCTTTTTAAAAACAGAATTTTAATGTCTCCTTCACTCGTGTTGAAGATAACATGCAAATTCACTTGCCCTTTAAATTAGAAAAAGGGCTCACTACAGCCGTTACTTGATTGCCTGTAAGATGTTAAGACTTGGATAAACCTAAACTCCCTTAACCTGATTCCAAACAAGACATAAGTCATCATGTCAGTACGTCCTGAGACAATGGAACCGGGCACTCATGCCTTTAATATTCACTTCTTGATAATGCTTTATAAATTTGACAAGCAGATTTCCTCTGTTGTCAAGTCGTGCCCTCTTAACAATTTAGAAAGAGTGATACATGCATTGATTTTCCATCCATCACCTGCAGCTGGTCAAACATGCCACTGCTCGCCTTCTAACACAAAAAAGAGGGACCCCATTACCCCTGTGCTGCTCTCCCTCCCTGGCTTTTAAAGCAGTACATGTATTGACACTAATTAACTTGTGTGAGTTTCTCTGTGTTCACGCTTCACCCAGAGCACTTCACCAAACTTCTGCAACAGCCGACCACTACAAATAAGATCTGCCTGCCCTCTGAATTTTTTTTAATCCATGTTGAAGACACATCTCTTCTCTTCGGCTTTCCCTCCATTGATGAGAATATTTTATCTCAACAGATTTATGTCTTATATTTTTGGCTGACTTGACCATCTCCACTTCTATATCTTTAGGGCGGGAGCATTAGAAACAACCAGAAAGAGATTTCATTGATCAATTTTTATAACCAACTAAAAAACCAGAGTGACTCTAGCACCCGATGAGGAAGCAGCAACAAGTCACAGGGAGACATGTAAATAAAAATAATGCACATGAAGACACGGATGTGAGGAGCACAGTAACAACTTTGTACATGGTTTGCCGTTTACGAGGACAAACAGAGTGAGACGCTCACCTGATGACTCGTGTCCCGTGTACTCGTACATCTTGTCCCAGGTTCCGTTCTCCTCCTTCCAGATGATGACTTTTCGGTCGTAAGAACAGGAAGCCAGAATGTTTCCGAACATCGGGTGAGCCCACGCCACCTGCCACACTGGACCCTCGTGGCTACACAGACACAAAACACTCAGATTTGTGTGCAAACGTTGAATACAACCACACAGACTATGGAAAGCTGAATGTATTATAGAAATATTAAACTTTTTTATCTTTTCTGAAACTTTTACATTTAAATCTGTTCTTCAGCGTATTCCCAGACAACCTCGCGGCGTGTACATTAGATAATTAATCGTTTGGTTATGTGTAACTTTTGTCCCTCACCCTCTGAGGTCCGCCACCAGAATCTGTCCCCCGTTCCTGACATCAAAGATCTTCACTGTGCGGTCGGAGGAGCAGGTGGCGAGGCGGGTGCCATAGTAGTCCATCTGGGCGTCGTGCTGAAATAAAGACACACAGAAAAGATGTCAAGACCTGAAGCGAGAAAGAATCTCCACTTCAACCTCATTAAGAACTGAACAAGGAGAAAAGGCGTTCACGTTTTCGTCTCCCTTTACTTGGAACGAATTAGAAAAAGAGCTGAAACTTAAAAGAGCTGCTTACGTTGCTTTTAAGAGGATGTTAAATGACTTGGAGGCGGACACATCTGGATGCAGATGTTCTCCCTGATGATCTTGACAAACATTTGCTGCTCAGATTTGTTATTTGTGTCTTTTAATGTCTAATAATGTAGTTTTGTATTTGTATGTGTGGCTGCTAACTATGACGGACAAAAAATAAGTAAAGTATAAATAAATAAATGTTGGGAGAAATGCATACAATAATGTATAAATAAATAAATAATTACATAAATGCATCAATAAATATATAAATGCTGAAAACAATACATCAATGAATAAATAATAAATACACTTTGTTAATGAAAAAGGCTATTTATATATTTTTACATGTATTTATTCATTTATTAGCGTATTTCTACAGTTATATATGTATCAATGCATACATTTCCACATTAACTGAGTTATTAATTTATTTCCGTATTTTTACATTTACACATCTATTTATTTCTGTGTCCAGGTCGTAAGAGGAAAAGTATTTATGTAAATTTACACAGAAATACATAAATAAATATATGAATATATTAATTTATATATGAATTGTTGCATTTATTTATTTATTAATACATTATTGTATGCATTTCTCCCAACATTTATTTATTTATTAATATATTTATTTATTTATACTTTAGTCATTTTTTGTCCCTCATAGCTGACAACAACATTAATAAAGATATTAATTATTGTTAAGAAATATCGGAACCGGTTCATATATGTCGGAACTGAAAAAAGAATCTTTACATCTCCACAAACAATTGTTATTATATTATTAAATTATAATATTGTTAAATTCTTATATTATTATAATTATTATATTGTATTATTAATTATTATTATTATATTATAATTACATTATTAAATTATTATTATTATTGTTATATTATTAAATTACTAAAATTATTATAATTATCTTCCTAAAGTCTGTATATTAAAGAAATGCTAACATTAGCTTCATTTATTAGCCAAAACTGTGAGAAAAAGCTAAATGAACTTACGATCATGTCCTCGTGAGAGGTGTCCACCGTGTTGATCACAGAAACCTGAACAGGTAAAGAAACAATAATTTAATCTGCACAGACTTCAGATGTTTGACATCAGATTCAGACATTAGCCACTGTGCTAACAAGCTAGCTGTTTGGGCACGTCAGCACCAACAGCTAACGGCTAACAGCTTAGCACGAAGCTAACGCTAAAGCTAACGCGTTAATGGAGGATTATAAAACACTCACCATGGTGATAAGAGGACCAGAAACACTCCACAGAATTATTCAGGTTTAATGATTGAATAAAACTGGTTCACTAACTGCTCCGACGTGGCAACAAGTACCGAAGCCGCGTCCCACCCACCGAGTCCAGCGATTTAATCTACCGGCGGAAACTACACACGGGCACCAAAGGTTCCGGATACCGAAAATAAATCAAATGCATATTTTCAAAAGGTAAATTATAAATGTTTAATTCAGCAAATAAAGACACACTACAATAATGTCATATTTACAATAATGTCATAATACTGTTTAAATAACATTCAAGAGGACGATTGAGCTTTGGAGAAAGGGACTCACGGTTGGCGCTAGTTTTAAACCGTAAATTGAAAAGGTTTAACGAATTTATCTGAATTTTTAAATGTGAAAACTTCAGATTTGAAACATATTTAACCTCTATCAAAATAACCCTAAAGCTTACAGATACGAATTTGGCTAAATGAACGGACCCGTCCTGGGTTTATTTCCTTCTTGATGTTTGTTTTTATACTGATGATAGCCTGTTGTGTGCTATTTCAAATTTAGCAATGTTGTTCTTATTTTGGAAACTTTAGAAGACGTGTAACTCAGAGCATTTTGAACTTGTCTGTATGTATTTGAATGCATTTGATGTAGGCGTCATATCAAGAAGACTGTTCATTTATAATAATTAGACTACTTCATTTATAGCACCTTTAAAAACACAAACAAGCAAAAGCCTAAAAAGAAGAAAGGAAAAGAACCCAAACACAGAAGAAAATAAACAACAGCAAAATTAGCAGAAAAATACAAATAAATAATCAAACAACAAAATACCCAACAAACGAGGCGCTGCTCGTCAACAGGCAAGACAGGCAACTGCTTGGGGCCCCAGGCCAGTAAGGGGCCCCTGAAGGCTGACAAACTTAAAACTGCAGCAATAGAATTGACAGAAGGAAACCTCCCTAATGGGGCCCCATCTGACAGAACTCACTCTTGTGTAATAATCCTGTGAGAATCAAAGTTTGTCAATAAAAGTCTCTGAAGGAAAATGAAGAGGAATTATCTGTGTGGCAGTGAAGAAGAGAGAGGAAGAGTGTCAGGACACTGGCAGACATAATGGTGGTTGGAGGGGCCCCCAATTAAATTTAACCTAGGGCCCCAACAGACTCTGGAATTGCCCCTGTCAACAAAGATATTTAAACAAGGATCATCACATGAACCATCATAAGCACCATCATAAGAACCATCATAAGAACCATCATAAGAACCATCACAAAAACCAAAATAAGAACCATCATAAGAACCATCACAAGAACCATAACAAGAACTGTCTTAAGAACCAAAATAAGACCCGTCATAAGAACCGTCATAAGAACCGTCATTAGAACCATCATTAAAACCATCATAAGAACCATCATTAGAACCATCATAAAACCATCACAAGAACCATCAATAGAACCATCATAAGAACCATTACAAGAACCATCACAAGAACCATCACTAGAACCGTCATAAGAACCGTCATAAGAACCGTCATTAGAACCATCATTAGAACCATCATAACAACCATCATTAGAACCATCATAAGAACCATCACAAGAACCATCACTAGAACCAAAATAAGAACCAAAATAAGAACCATCATAAGAACCATCATAAGAACCAAAATAAGAACCAAAATAAGAACCAAAATAAGACCCGTCATAAGAAACGTCATAAGAACCATCATTAGAACCGTCATTAGAACCATTATAACAGCCATCATAACAACCATCATAACAACCATCATTAGAACCATCATAAGAACCGTCATAAGAACCATCATTAGAACCATCATTAGAACCATCATAAGAACCATCCTAAGAACCATTATAAGAACCATCATAACAGCCATCATTAGAACCATCATTAGAACCATCATTAGAACCATCATAAGAACCATCATAAGAACAATCATTAGAACCATCATAACAACCATCATAACAACCATCATTAGAACCATCATAACAGCCATCATAACAACCATCATAACAACCATCATTAGAACCATCATAAGAACCATCATAACAACCATCATTAGAACCATCATAAGAACCATCACAAGAACTGTAATAAGAACCGTCATAAGAACCGTCATAAGACCCGTCATAAGAATCGTCATAAGAACCGTCATTAGAACCGTCTTAAGAACCTTCATAACAACCGTCATAAGAACCGTCATTAGAACCGTCATTAGAACCGCCATTAGAACCGTCACAAGAACCATCACTAGAACCATCACAAGAACCATCACAAGAACCATCACTAGAACCATCATTAGAACCATCAGAAGAACCATCATAAGAACAATCATTAGAACCATCATAAGAACAATCATTAGAACCATCATTAGAGCCATCATAAGAACCATCATTAGAACCATCATTAGAACCATCATAAGAACCATCATAAGAACAATCATTAGAAACATCATAAGAACAATCATTAGAACCATCATTAGAACCATCATAAGAACCATCACAAGAACCATCATAAGAACAATCATTAGAACCATCATAAGAACAATCATTAGAGCCATCATTAGAGCCATCATAAGAACCATCATAAGAACCATCATTAGAACCATCATTAGAACCATCATAAGAACCATCATAAGAACCATCATTAGAACCATCATAAGAACCATCATAAGAACCATCACAATAACCATCATAAGAACCATCATTAGAACCATCACAAGAACCATCACAAGAACCATCACAAGAACCATCACTAGAACCATCACAAGAACCATCACAAGAACCATCACAAGAACAATCATTAGAACCATCATAAGAACAATCATTAGAACCATCATTATAGCCATCATAAGAACCATCTCAAGAACCATCATAAGAACAATCATTAGAACCATCACAACAACCATCATAACAACCATCATTAGAACCATCATAACAGCCATCATAACAACCATCATAACAACCATCATTAGAACCATCATAAGAACCATCATAAGAACCATCATTAGAACCATCATAAGAACCATCACAAGAACCGTAATAAGAACCGTCATAAGAACCGTCATAAAACCTGTCATAAGAATCGTCATAAGAACCGTCATTAGAACCGTCTTAAGAACCTTCATAACAACCGTCATAAGAACCGTCATTAGAACCGTCATTAGAACCGTCACAAGAACCATCACTAGAACCATCACAAGAACCATCACAAGAACCATCACTAGAACCATCATTAGAACCATCAGAAGAACCATCATAAGAACAATCATTAGAACCATCATAAGAACAATCATTAGAACCATCATTAGAGCCATCATAAGAACCATCATTAGAACCATCATTAGAACCATCATAAGAACCATCATAAGAACAATCATTAGAACCATCATAAGAACAATCATTAGAACCATCATTAGAACCATCATAAGAACCATCATAAGAACCATCATAAGAACAATCATTAGAACCATCATAAGAACAATCATTAGAGCCATCATTAGAGCCATCATAAGAACCATCATTAGAACCATCATTAGAACCATCATAAGAACCATCATAAGAACCATCATTAGAACCATCATAAGAACAATCATTAGAACCATCATTATAGCCATCATAAGAACCATCATTAGAACCATCATAAGATTCCATCATAAGAACCATCATTAGAACCATCACAAGAACCATCACTAGAACCATCATAAGACCCATCACAAGAACCTTAATAAGACCCTGGACATAAAGAGATAACTGTAGTTAGAACATTACTGAATGAGAGATTACAAATAATAAATTTTTTTTAAGAGAAATTAAAGAGAATAAAACAGTAAGAGGAAATAAAAGAGGAAATAAAGAGTCAACAACAACAACAACAAGGAATCATCTTAAATTAAAAGCTGTGAAGAAAAGGAGAGACGGTTGTTAGCGCGGGAGTTTTAAAACTTTGTAACGGGGGAAATAAAATATAAAATGTTTTTTAGATTTGGATTATAAAAGACGACAATGTGGCGTTATACTCAACATGTCCACCGGGTGGCGCCATAACCCCACCACACTGTCCTCTCTCACTTCTATTTTTATCTGAACCCAACAAGTGTCATGTTCCCCCCGGGTAGCCTCTGTGTGTGTGTGTGTGTGTGTGTGTGTGTGTGTGTGTGTGTGTGTGTGTGTGTGTGTGTGTGTGTGTGTGTGTGTGTGTGTGTGTGTGTGTGTGCGCGTGCGTGCGTGCGTGCGTGTTGGCAGACATGGGTCCGTTCAAACACACGGTGGACGACGGTCTGAACATGGTCGGTTCTAGGTAGTGGCCAACAGGTAACACTGAGCTTGGTTCCCCCCTGTGGCCCCCCTCCAAAAGGAAAGCCCCCCCACACACACATCCACAGTGTTTAACTCACAATCTAGTATTAAATTCTGTTACTGAAACAAATTTAAATCATGGTATTTAATGATGTGTGCTATTATTTGGCATAATATATATAATTTTTTTAAGTGATCATCTTTGTCTATTTTTGACCTTTAATGGGGGATGTGTTTACATTTCCTTTGGCATTAACCAAAAAAACATGTTTAAGTTCTCAAATGGAAAACTGTGAGAAGTAGATGACTCACTTTCAACATTTAGATAAATCTTCTTCATCTTCAGATTTCAGAAAACTTGTTGCAGTGGAAAAAAGATGGAGGAAGGTGATAAGAAGTAGGCGGGTAACTTTTATGCGACCTGAAAATATAATCTCAGGAAACGCTGCAGCCTGTCCAGATGCTGCAGATCAACCAAAGAAAGAGGAACTGACAACACGGAGAGAAGACAAATAACTATTAGAGACGATTTCAGGATCCGAGACTGTAAAGATGAGAAGACTTCTCCTGCTGCTCCTCTCACTGATGACGACAGGTGAGTCACTTTAAAACAGCAGGTTTCATCCGGCCCGTAAGACATTTGGGAAGAAGGGGGAAATAAATTGCAAAGTATTTTTATGAGATTTTGTATAAATTAAATATTTAGGGTTAGGGGGCCTCTGAGAGAGAGAGTCCACATTTTATTCCAGAAAGGAATTCTGAACGTTTGTTTATTTATTCAGACAATTTTAATTATCTTATTGCGGTTATAACTTAGAGCAGAGGTGTC